TTCCGCGAAATCTTCTGGTTCTTCGATCGCATTCGAGAGGCGTTGTTCCAGCGAGGAGTTTATTCCTGTTAGGATCATGGATTTCATTACGATGGGTCCGACCTTCGCGTCCCATTCCAGATTCTGCATCTCATTGATGTAGTCATCGATCATGCCAGTTTGACGGAGCTTATCCATCTTCTGTTTGGCTTGTTCTTGACTTGTTCGATTGCCGTACTGAATCCGTAATTCGTTTTTGAAATTCTCCCATGTTCCGATGCTGGGGTCTACCGATAGTCGCTCCACGAAGTTTCGCCAGAATTTTGCCGCACTCCCGGTAAGTTCGAGGGATGCCCACAGGATCTTAGTTTGGTCGTCCCACCGGACTTTTCTCTGAAGTTCAATTAAGACTTCCATTTGGTCGATCCAGTGTCGTACGTCTTCGTCGGCTTTTCCGGAGAAGGGGATTTTTGCCTGTTTTGGCGTATCTCCCAGGGTGGTGCGAGGGGGGTGCATGAGGTCTACCTCTTGCTGCCTGTTACGGCGTCTTCGCTCCTCCCGTTTTCTCTGTCTTCGTTCGCGTGCTCGGCGATCGTCCTCTGAATCGGAGGAGCTGGATGAGTCTGAGGGGGATGGGTCTCGTGGTTTTGCGCGGTTTCCGCCGTTGCCATTATTGCCATTGCCTCCTCTGCCTCCCTGTTCACTCCGTTGGCTTTCTCTTGCCTCAGAGCGAGGGGGTATGGGGGGCTGGCTCCCTGATCCTTCCGGTCTCTCTCCGGAATTGCTAGGGGGGTTCGGTGGAGGTGGCGGGGGTACTATGCCTTCGCCTCCTGAGCCTTCGGGGGCTGCTGCCGTTCTATTGGCTGCTACCCGCATCTGCTCAATAATCTCCTCCAGGTTCTTCTTTGTACCCGCGAACTGGTCTTCCATCGCAGCTTGTCTGTCCCGTTCCATCCTTTCGAGGGCAGCCATAACCTCCGCGGGTATCTGCACAGGGCCATCTTTCGGGAGTTGTTGAACAAAGTTGGTCAGCGCATTTATGTGCTGATCCTGTCGCTCCTGCCTTTCCTGATGCGCCCTAGTAGCTTCCACGATCTGCCCAAGGACTTGGCCGAGGTTGCTGGTAGCGGCGGTGGATTCCGCCCGCAGTTGAGTCATGACCTGGTTGAGCTGATTGTCGCGCTCGGCTCTGTCCCCAGCGAACTTGGCGTGGAGGTCCTCGACGATCTTGTTGGTATACTCCTGCTGTTGCCGGGTGAGTTCCCTGAGTATGGGGATATCCCGCACGTGCATGCTGAGTTCCTCGATCCCGCGGCTGAGCTGTTGTACCACGGGGGCCCCTTGTCGCTGGACTTCTTGCCCAATAAGGTCGCCAAAAGGGTTCTCCACCCACCGTTCCTCTACGTCCATGTTGGTATCCTCGTTGTCGTCCATTACCCGAGGCACCGAGGGCCTCTGAGTAGAGGATCTCTCTCTGATTGGGGTGACGTATGGGGAGAACTCCCGGTGGTCTACCTGCCGCCTCCTCGCCTGCCCATAGGATTCTTCCTGCCTCGTCGATGTGAAGAGGGAGCCTATCGGCACATCTCTCTCTTTCCTGTGGCGCCTCTTCGCTTGGGTCTCCAATATACCTCGATCTCTCAAGGCGATTGAGCTCTCCATGTTGTAATCTTCCTCCGACCGTTGCTGATGAGCCCTTGACATTGGTAAGTTGCTCGAGTTTGAGCTGTGGATGCCTTCTGCACCAGGGTTGAGCAATGAACCAGGGGGCTGGATGAGCAAGTCCGAAAGACCGTTGGGAGAGAGTGATCTTGATTGGGAAGAGATCCGGGTAGTTGAGGATTTCGGGATCGTGTTCCTCGAAGGTAGCGGTGGTCCCTGCTTCTGCGAAGAAACCTGAGTAGTGAAGGTATCCGCAGTATAGATGTTCGGCGCTTCCTCTTCGAACGATGAAGGATGTAGCGCAAAGGTAGTTGTTGATGGCTGCTGTTGCCACTCGGGGGTGCATATAGTACCTTGGTCTTTTCTAATAGACTAAACGCTTATTCTTCTACTGAGAGCACGGTGACTATCCGACACTAAGCAAAATACTCAGAGTATTGGTTTAAGCGAGTAGTTGTCTTATCGAGACTTTTGGTGGTGTATGCGATAGGTAAAGAGTAAAGTTAGGGATAAGGAACAATATAGTGTTAAATTATTTATGCTTTTTACAGTGAGACTATTTGATGCCTCTACCCACATCAAAAAAGTGCAAAAGCGTTTAACGAAATAACTCCTGATCTTTGTTCTTAAAGTTCTCTTAGGTCCTCGGTGATTCCAATAGTGTATGATGATAGCAGGAAATCTGCATCGCACTATGAATACCCCCGTGCTGACTTTTCATCATCTTCGGCTACCTCGTTACAATACCCTTACTCGGTTGGCCATTCAGGCTTGTTCCTTTCACGTGATATTGTCGACCGGATTGCACCCGACTGATGGTTGATGATACCCTCAAGTCTTCGCAGAATCAAGCCCTATTTATACATGTTGGAACCTATGCCAAGGCCCGCTTTCTAATACTAACTGACACAACGATAATAGAATAAGAGAATGCTCCCGAAGATAACCCAGATAGAAAAGCGCCCCCGCATAGTTCCGTCCTCCATTCTAATTCCGACACGTAACCATGAACCTTGCAATTGCCAGTCACCGGGCTGTACCATACTATTATCCTAGACCTACTTCTCTCAGTAGAACAGCCCACAGCCGTAAACCCCGCTTCCTATTCTATTCCGGGTGAGACACCCAATAGTAAGCGTGCCGTCGTAACAGTATAGTACTAGTGTGGTAACACCGCATGCCCCCACACTACCCGATACCTTTCTATGCTTGTCCTTCCGTTACCCGACCGTCCTCGCATCACAACCCGTCACTCGTATTCCTCACTGTCTTAAGTCTTTAGAACAGTGTTCCGTAGTTCCTGTAACATTCAGATCTCCGCCTCTCTGCTCAGCGCGCCGAGAGAGCGTCAAACTCATTCCTCACTACCCCAAAATCGAGTGATACAACATGACCCGTGACCGACGACAACCACCAACGGAGGCGGCCTTTACTCGCGGCTCTATGCTTGGGAATCTGAATGGCGGTTTAGGGGGTTTCTGGCGCCCACCGGATCGACGGGATCTAATATAATTGCTACTTCGGCGATGTTTCTCAAACCCAGCGCGGTGCGGAAATAATTTAAAGTCCTTCTCTCTAATTGCCTGAGTACGTACGTATATATGTACCGGAAATACTCGATTTCCAAAGTACATCCTGTGTTAATATGTATTATGTTCGACGAACTGTCGAAGCCAAAAACAGCGCCTGATATATGGTGAATGCGTATACCCATCTTGATCCCGGTAGGTTGATAACTGTCCAAGTATCGAATCTACTTGCCCACCCACCACATTCTAAAAATACACTTACGCCCGTTTTATCCTCGCTAGAGCGAACCCTCCACAATAGAATTCGACTACGCGCCAGCTCGTACAGTGTGTTTCACGAGGGATTAACCCCCGAGAGAGACCTCAGGGCATAGGGGTCTACAAGGCGAGCATGCTTGAGTGAAAACCCAGCTGCTTGCCTCGACAGTAAACTCCAACTTTTGTAGGTTTAATTATCGCACTGATCTGCCTCGAGATCATCTCTCTTGGTAGGTGCGAGCGAGCAAAGGCATGGACTATACATACGAGGCAGAGCCACATCGACGTGCCCGTCCCCACCAATCTCAAGTAGCCCGTGGGTCGGGCTATTGCCATAGAAAAAATATTAAAATATTCGTATACTGTTAAACTATAAAGCCCAACAATTTACTGATATCAAACTCTCTGGCGGGGAATTGAACCCCGGTCACTCGCGGCTCATCAGATGACAAGCGAGTATACTAATCACTATACTACCAAAGATTGATATAATTGGAGCTTTACTACTTTATCAACTAGTCCTGGGCTCTGGCCGTCTTTAGTCTATTATGGCGCTCTTGGCGGCAGGGATACTAATGGCAAGGATTGTTGTTTCAGTGATCCTTGACGGGGTGGCCGGGAGTCAATGACCATCTTACGAACCAGTACTATACAGAACATCCAACGTACCGTATTAATTCGTCTCAACGGCCGGTCACACAGGACGTTGAAATTCCCCTCTATGGTTATTTGCCTTGAATACGCCCCCCAATCTCCCTCATGCTGGCTAGAAGAGGCAACTTAGACGTCTTGTGTGACCGGCCGCTGAGACGAATTAATGCGGTATTGCGTTACCTCTGTAAAACCATTGTGGTTGTTCAAAGACACCTATTCGATACTCCTAAATTAGCATTATGATGTACATTAGACCCAAGACCCGTCGGACTGGATCTTGTGTGTAGAAACAGCCCGCAACGTCATTAAATTGGATAATAAGGCCAGATTTAGACAAATCAGTCCGTGTTTGATACAGTATGTAGCTGCTCGATAAGGAGATATATGCTCCCACATTAAGTCACTAGATTTTTATTTCAGTAACAAAACACTGCATAGTCTTGCCGAAGGGAGTCTTGATAGACCCAAATCCGAGCCACGGCGTCCGTGTCGCTGGCGCCATATTCGAAAACATAATACCCCTAATTTTCTTGGTGTCCGGAGTGTAATACCGATCTCTGTCTCTTAAGGCTGCGAAGTTTCATCTCATGCCTGTAACCGGCGGAGGGACAAACCAGCTTGTGGGCTTCGAAATCGAGTGATAATTCATGAACTGGTTACGGGAATCATTACTCTTGATTCTTGAAAGCCAAAGGTTGAAAGCCAACACCATAGCGAAGACTCACAACCATCAACTTGAGATATATCGTTATCCTCTCAAGATGAATCAAACTACACCCTATAGCTCGTCGCGATAATGGCCACTATAAAGTCACGCCACCGTTCTGCAACCTAAACTCCAGCCAGACCTCCTACGCATACAAATTTACCAACACAACCAAACTAAACATATAAACCTACAGATACCCAAAAAGAATCATGGGCAACCCAATCCGCCGCTTCGACTCAAGCGACAATCCACTCCCCATCGGCACCCCCGCCACACCAGGAGATCCAGCACGCCCGCCGACCCCCACCCCCATGACCGACCAATCCCCCCTCCCACCTATGCCGCGTACCCCGAACCTCTCCCCTCGCCGCACCAATGAACTTAACTTTCTTCCCACCCCTACCCCTCTTACCACTACTATCAACCCCCGCCGCACTCCCGAGATCTTTGCACATCGCTTACATGACACATTTGTACTCACCCCGCTAGCTCCCACATCCGCGCGACCTCAACCACCCCGCCGAGGAGTAGTACTAGTACGTCAAGGCCAGGGAACACCTGCAGTGCTGCTGAACATGGTTACAGGAAGTGAGGATAGCGATGGAGGGGTAGCCCTGGTGCCTTGTGAGGTTTGTGGGCACTTATGTTCTGATGGCAGGTGGCATTGTGTTCGCTAATAAAGACGGGAGTGAAGTTGGTAGGAGGTTATAGGTCAGAGTAGAGAGATCTCCCAGAGTCCATTATTGCGATTGACCGCGCTGCGATAGATTAGAGAAACGAGTACTTTGCGGTTGAGTACCCAAATAAAGAATTAAAAGGCCCTTTGCCAAACTTAACCACTGCACTACATGCCCCTCAAGTCCACTATATAGCCTCGGTTTTTACCCTGAATAATAAAAAAGTTGGAAACACTGTGCCGTTAATAAGACACTATAAAATAATCCACCAGCTCTGAATCAGCCGGGAATCGAACCCGGGTCGGGCGCAAATCATCAAGCTGATGGCAAGCGCCCGTGATACCACTACACCACTGAATCTTGGTTTAGGCATCATGATAGTGCATTAAGAGGCCCTTACTAATTTCCGGTACAAACGCCAAGAAGTGCGGGTTGTTAGCGTTGAAAAATAGTGTGTTACGGCTTGCTAAGCCTTAGCGACGAGCGCACAGAGGATTCACGAAAGATGGCAAGTAGAATGGATCAAGGGTACTCCGAACTGACAATGTGTTTCGTCCCTTCGGGACTCCCGGTGGTCTGGCTACTTGTATACATCGTGGTTGTAGAGGGCCACCGGGTTACAGTCACGGAGTTCTGCCGCTATTTCCGCGAGCGACTTCTCCTCTCAGGGTCCAGTCTATCCGCAGCCACTACAAGAGATTAAGCCTTCCTCGAAATGGAATGTGACTGAGTCTTGCCTGAAAGAAGTCGGGAGAGAAGGAGACTGATTCCTGTCAGGTGAGATTGATATGGTCGAAAGAATCCTTGACTGAATCCCTCCAGAGAAAAGCCGGTCAAGAATTTGTTCCTTCCACGATTCCGTCCATGGCTGCTTTTCTTTCTCCTATCCTATCGATGGTGTGGCTCATCCTAAGGTCAATCTGTCTACATATCCTTCCACAAAAGTGGGCTCTCAGTGATCCGCTTATCACAGATCATCACTCGGATATTGGCCCGCGACAACCGATTTTTTTTTGTTTAATTCATTAATTCCCGCGACAACCGATTGAAGGGCCGCTGGTTATGCTTAGAAACAACCCCCGCGGGCGGGGGGGGGGGGGGGGGGCGCAAGAAGTCTTCTGCGGTTGTTGAGCTCCAATAGAAAGAAGAAAACAAACAAAGTAATGGAAAAATTGATGAGAGTTACTTCCTCTGCTGGCCGTTTCTATGCTGGACACACTGTGGAGAACGAGAGAGGGTGTGGTGGTGCGAGGGTGAGGGTTGGGGGATATAGCAACTAAGTACTGTTTTGGTAGCGGCAAGGAAGGAAGTGTCTCAACGACTTTTTGTTTTTGGTGATGGATGATTTATTATTTTCTACCTTAGCTCTCTATTTATAGCCGTAAAAACATTTTTATCATGCTGCTAGAGAACAATCTAGAAAATGAAATAAGAGAAGCCATTCCCAAAAAGACAAAAGATAAAAATAAAGGAACGTAAAAGGACAAGAATATAAAGAAATGCCTTGCATAATAAAGGAAATAAAGGACGGGAATCGACAGATGAGTTGTCTTTTTATGTATCGGAACCCTGTTCTAGCAAGTACGAGCCATGCATTAACCGGTCGGAGATTGAGGTAAAACACAATTGCTTGGAGATAGCTTCTTTTAACTGCTCTAACATGAGGTCCGGCGCTATTGTTGGATTCCGGAGTGTTCTCAATCTCAAACACGATGTCGCTCACCACTTGATGTGCCACATAATCCGTTTACGAAGGGCGAGATTCCATGAGAATCTGGCTTACAAAAAATGGTGGCCGCCAGAGAGTACCGAGATATTTGTGTGATGTCCTTGATGTGAGGCCTTAGTGCCTGGACGGCGAAAATAATATGCAGGAGTGTGCTCCACTTCTTTTGCTCGTTACTGGGAGTAAAAGTAAGAGGCTTCGCAAAATCTTATCCCTCATTTGGCCCGATAAAAATGCTGGATGTGATTTCTGCTTTGTGTCTCGAGGGTAGAGGAAGTCTTGCAGCGTGGAGGCAGATGTCGAAAATGAGATATCCTTCGATCATTGCCCCGTCGACGTGATGCATCATGTTCCAGAGAGATTTATTCGTCCAAAGTATTTTTCTTCTTGATAATATTAATATCCTTCCCCTGGAATGATCATGCTAGCATCACGCGACTTCAAATCCTTTTTGCTGCCCCATTCTGACTTCCTATACCCTTTAATCCCTACAAGCGGAGTGCGGCCTTCGGCCACCCAAATGTACTGAGGAAATGAGGTTCGGGCGGTACTGCGATAGCAACCCCTTAGATTACTGCTGTGACTCTGGATTATTGGATCATCAAAACGTACAGGCATGCACTAAACCTCATCTCCATCTCTCTTTATATGTAATCTGTGATACAATAGCTCTAGTATGCACTCTAAGTCATTCAAAGAGTAGCGTTAGTATGTACATGTAGTTCATGATAAAATGGTATCAGGGAAATTCGACCTTCATATATAAAAATATCGCTGTAGTTTTGTCAGTGTTTGTTCTTTTATATCCATCAATTGCAATAGCTACACGCCTTTTAATGCCAGTTCCCTTCCGTCTCGGGAGTAGTTCTTTGTCGAATCATGATATGCAATCAATATTAGAAATACATATAGTGCACTATAACCAATAGGAGACGTTCCTGGTGACGATGAGGAAGACTATATAGTTTAGATATCCTCCTTTTGTACGTTATCAGAATTCTGGATCACTGATCTTTGCCGGCGAGACTTCAAGATGAAAGAAGTGATAAAGAATCTCTTCCGGACACCGGCAGTCCTGACCATAATCCAACGCCGGCAAACCTTCTTCACCATTTTTCCCGCCCAAGGGTTTTCGCCTCTCACTGCCCAAAATTCCCTCATGCGTTACTCTCCGCATCCCCACTCAATCTTCTTTCCATCAGAATTGTGAACCTTCCCCGAAAGCAGAACAAGAGCCATTCCCCTGAGCGAAGCTTCCACCACGACAATAGGGAAGAAGGGTAAGTGCCTACACTGTCACTTAATATTGTGTCTGGGTCCGCGGCCATTTCCATCCGTACTCTCGCCCATATGGCTAGACTGAAAATTAGAGTTACGGAGGTAAGATTTGTCGGCCCTGCAAGTACTTAGGGAAGAGGGATTCTGCAAAGATTGGGGGTCGACGACGGGGGACGGAGAAACTGTCCTGCGCGGATGTTGAGAGAAAATGCGGCCATCGGCTTTGCGATAACGCTCCATTCTGGTGCTCTTAACCCGACTCTTCATCTCCGAAGCCTAGCAGAGAGTCGCCGCGAATGAGAGAAGACCACAACATAGCCGTCCCATCCGTCGTAGCTCGCCATTCATTCCGTGATGCTCTGCTCTCCCTCCTCTTCCCGGGGCTGCGGCGACCACGGCCGTATTACAATCTCCATTGTCTACCAGCCCAGACTCCATCGAAACGTTCCAGAATCTATATATATTTTCTATAGAATTTACTGTATGGTGAAGTTAGCAGTCGTATTCACATCCAGAAAGCGGTCAGCTATCAATGCAGAGGAGTAAAGCATACATACAGCCACTCTGCAAAAGTGTTCGTGATTCCGATTTCGGAGTGAGACATTTCTCTATATGTAACTGCGGTGGGCCATTAAGAACCCCTAAGAGAAGACCTTGCAGTGACCAATGGCGCCCAAGTTAATGAAGAATAAGATCAATGACCTTTTTTATTTTTTATTTTTAAATCATGTTCAATTTGATTCTAGGTACAAATGATCGCGTGCAGTATAAACTATGCCGTAATAAGATCAATGACCTATCTTCTTTTTATATATAGTCACGAACTATATTATATATTTCTCGTTGTTTTGAATCTCAACTTTAATAACATCAGTATTACGGGTGCGCCACACTGCGCACCGACATTAAAACTATATCACGAACACTTTTGCTGAGTGGCTGTAGAAGCCCATATATCTCTGTGTATGCTCCTCACCGCTCTTGGGCGCTGTCAACCAAGGTGCATTGCAGAAGACTCATCGATTTTTACTAGGGGGCGCGGACTGTCAGCAATATTCCGGTCCAAGGCAGCGGGGTTTGGGTACGAGAGTGGGTTTTTTTTTTTGGGGGGGGTCTTGAAATAGGGCGCTCGGCACGTTTCATAGTTCTGGAAGATTCTCACCATTTCATTATAGTATTTGTCATCGGCGTATGACTCACTTTCCTATTAGTCATTCTATTTACTCACACGTCCATGACTCATTGTATTTCTCTTTGTACTACCTTTCATTAGTATAAATACGGGGCATTCCCCCTTAGCTAGAACAATAACACGATCAATTACTTTACTTCTCCTACATACTTTCTCTAGGTTATGAGCCCGGAGACCACTCACGCTTATACACTCTTCACCATTTTTACCACAAAGTACACTTTCTCGTTTCACTTTCAATCATGTCTGAGAGGAGCATCAAAATTCCCGCACTCCCATGCAAGCTGGATGGTCAAGGCCATTACACTGTATGGAGGGACCTTGCTACCCGCATGTTGAAAGTTCACGATCTGTGGAACTTGGTCAATGGTTCGAGCAAGCGTCCCGTGTTGACAACCACCACCACTACTGTACCTACCACGGCACCACAAGCATCAGGAAGTACAGCCGAGGCTGAAGAAGACGAAGAAGAAACCTCCGACAACGCCGAAGAAATCAGCGACTGGGACAAAAAGGACAACCTTGCAGTTGTATTCCTTCAATCTAACATCGAATTCGAAGTTATTCTCACACTGACACCGGCCGACACCGCTCATCACCTCTGGACTCAACTCGAGGACAGATTCGATCGGAAAACCGTCGCTTCCCTCCACTCGCTCCTCGCCAATGTCGTCACACTACAGTACACACCCGACAAGGGTATCAAGGAACATCTAACCCAGTTCAACACTCTTTGGTCATCTCTCCTCACTAGAACTAGTAACTCTACGGACAAAACCAAAGACCCACTCGGTTACCACCTTCACCAACTCGCATCTGTCACAGAAGCGAAGGCATCCTTCCTACTC